TCACTAATCGATCTGTGTCCTGGGAAAGTCACTTGCCTCCCTGGGCCTGTTTCTTCATTTGTACCAGAAGGGATTAAACCAGGTGCATCTGAGAGTCTTTGCAGGTTCCCTATGTTGATCCCCTTACCTAGGAATCTGAGCATCTTTTAAACTTCCTTTTTTATGTCATAACCTCCAGAATGACAAGGCTCCATGGGTTGCTTCAAATGGACACATAGAGACATGCGTATAAACTCAGGCCCTTCCCAATCATGTAAATTGGTTAGACCCCTCGTGTCAGGTTCTGGGGGCACCATTCCAACCACGGCTGTCAGGGGATGTCTCAAACCAGGATGGCTGTGGTCTCCCCTGGCCTTTACCCCCTCCCAGGGCAAAATCCTTTGCCTCGGTCCAGTTCACGGAGGCTTTCTTTGGCACAGCAGGTGGCTGCCCACCAGACAGTCCCTCTCGGAAGTTAGAGGGACGAAGCTGTGACAGGAGACTTCCTCGCCCAAGGCACCAGCATCTCAGCCCCAGGACAGTTTTGCTATGCTCCGCACGCCCTGCGTGGGCTGGCTCCTGTTGCTAGGAGAACCTGACCATTTGCATTTCCGCTGCTTTTATTTAGAGCAGCAGCCACTGCTGCAGGAACACAGGGTATTTTAAGAAAGACGGAAAAGGGAAGGGTGAGGGGAGCCCTTAGCCTGGGTCCTCCTCCCCAAAGGCCTCCAAAACACTCACATAAAGGCAGCACCCGCCCCAGGGCCCCACCCCACTCAGACCTCTTGCCTCCTCTTCCCTGAACGGCTCCATCTCCCAGTCCTGACACCTTCACAAGCACCTGCAAGTACAGGAACAAAACAACACAATCACCTTCTAGACAATTGGCCAGGCCTTGTGCTCAACCTAACAAACACAGAGCCTCGGTTTCCCCGTGTGAAAACAGATAGAAAAACTTTTAGCTTCCATTGCAATTCTCCAACCATGCAAAACACAGACAGCCCATGTTTTCTCCTTCCTTCTTGCCCCTTCTCTCCCAGTCGCTGCCCCATGATGGGGTTTGACTTTTCCTGCAAGGCCTCCCACAAATCAGTTACCTTCCCAGATTCCCCCTCGTCTATTAATCTCTCTCTCCCTGTTCTAAAACTACCCCTAGGCTATGAACTCCTAGAAGCCAGTGTCTACATAATTTTTATTTTTTTAATTCCCTTCTTAGTTCTAGGATATTTTGCTGACAGTAGCTGCTCATTAACACTTTTTAAAATTTGTTCATTCACGTCCAACTTGTATTGAGCCTACCGAGAGATGTCTGTGGCAGGTAATCACGGAACCGTCTCTATCATTAAGGAGCTCTTAGCCCAGTGGAGGAAGACACGTAAAAAGTTTTAAACAATGTGATGAGTGTTGTAATGAAAAGAGATTCAGAATTGCAAGAAGTTTCTTGAGGCAGAGGTGGGGGTGGGATGGAGTATGAGCAAGAGAAATCAGGAATGGCTTCATGGATCTAACTGATGAAGGGCATTAAGAGTCCATCATGGGTTGACCACTCCCATGAGTTGACCTCTCTTGCTTTCTACCTGGAAGATAGATATTTAGCTAAGATTCTAGCCAGTCCTGAACCATGAGGTGACCTCAAAGATGGGTACCTCATGCTGAAGATGACACTGTTGGCATCATACCAGCTCTGACGGAAATTCACAACTCTCTGCATGTGCAGTTTTGTAAACAATTTCCAGGGTTTCACGAGCACTGCAACCAATGTGTGCACCTTAAGTTAAGAATCTTGCTTTAGCCCAGCCAGTGTGGCTCAGTGGCTGAGCATCAGCCCATGAACCAGGGAGGTCACGGTTTGATTCCTGGTCAGGGCACATGCCTGGGTTGTGGGCTCGATCCTCATTGAGGGGAAGGGGGACAAAAGGCAGCCAATCAATGTTTCTCTCTCATAAATGTTTCTGTCTCTCTCTCCCTCTCCCTTCCTCTCTCTAAAGTCAATAAAAATATATTTTGTTTATGAAAGAATCCTGTCTTAGAGATGTGGGGCAAGTCAGGTCTACCCCAACTTCTGAGATCATGCTTGTTCAAGTGGAAGAGACTAGGACTGGACTGTGAGCATCCTCTGTAACTGACAAGACCCTTTTCTTCCCTCTTGATTTCCAGCATCAATACCTCCCTTGCCTCATTCCTCAGGCTGGTTCTGAAGCAGGGCTGCCCATCTCCCCTCTGCCCTTCTCCCACTGCCTCCCCAGCTATTCTTCCTGGGCTGCCAATCCCACTCCAAAGTCACTTTATACAGGAAGGAAATTAGCATTTGTGTTGGGACAGAAAGTGACAACGTTCAGCTCTCACTGTCATTCTGCTCTTAATTAATATTTAACCTCAGCTAGATTGCGTAGTAGAAGGAACCGGCTGATGGGAGAACAAAGCCTGGGCTGGCTTTCCTTTTAACACTGTCTCCCCCACTTCCGGCTCTTCTCTGGGTACCTTGGGACTCCAAAGGACCCAGCCAGCCCTCTGGGATGTGAGGAGGAGTGGCGGGGGCCAGCCCTGAGGACCCTAGATTGCACTTGATGAATTTGCTCCCTTGGATCTCTTGTCTTGTTTTTTGTTAATCCTCACTCGAGGATATTTTTTTCCATTGATTTTTTTTTTTTTTTTTTTTAGGGAGAGAGAAAGAGAGAGAGAAACATCAATTGGTTGCCTCCCGAACATACCCCGACCCTGCAAACACCTGGGATCAAGCCTGCAACCCAGATATGTTCCCTTGACCCGGGACCCTTCAGTCTGCAGGCCGAAGCTCCAACCATTGAGTCAAACGGGTGAGAGCTGAGAAAATGAGAGCCCAGGCCTGGCTTCCGGTGCCCAGAGCTAGACCCAGGCCTGGCCTGACGTGAAGGTTGAAGAGACAGGCGAGAGGGGGGAAAGCAATGCAAATGTGCCCCTCAACAGATTATGTATAAGGCACTATTTTTAGTTGCCTTCAATCCCTTGGGGCTGTCAGGGCGGTTGCAGCCCCACTCCCCCGGGAGAGGAAATGACAGGCATTATTACCCAGCCCAGAACTCAGGAGCAGTGCGTGGTGGGTGGGGGAGGTGCTGTCTTGCCAGCTCCAAAATTTGGGAACTGAACTTCCACGGGGGAAATTGAGGACACGGAGAAAAATCAGGTTTCATGCACAGGGCCCCCAGGACGCCCTCCTCCAGGCTCAGCTGGCCTGCCAGACCATCCCCAAGTACACATGCACTGGGCCCAGACCAGGAGTGTGGGAGTCGCCTCAGTCCCCAAGCGACTCGAAAAGTAGGTTATACAACACCCCTCGCTGCCAAGTTCTTCCTTCTCTCTAATCTTAGTTCTGCCTTCGGTCTAAGCCCATTTCCCCTCGCAGGCAGAGGCACAGGACAGCTGGTCGCCAGCCCCCAGCAAGGGAGCCCTGCCTTTCCTCTTCTCCAACCTGAGTCATTCCAGTTCCTTTAACCTTTCCACACATGTCATGCTTTTAGCTCATCTCCTTGTCACTCCTCTAACCCGGCTCTAAATATATCCCCAAGTACCTCCTTGGAAGCTGAACAGACACTGGTCCTTCTCCAGAGAACACCTGAGCACCCTTTTGAACGGAAGAACTGATCACATCCTGTCTTTGCTAGGCTTCCCAGTTGTCTTCGTTATCCTGCCTCGCCACAAGACCAAGCTCTCCTATCATCATGTCCTCCCCTTCTGTGACCTTCTCTACACTCAGCTAAGTGCAAGGCTTGTAAGAAGTGGTGCATACATTGTCATTGTGTTTAGGTTTAAATGAGACGCACTTATAAAAAAAAAAAATAAGGTCAGCAAAGTAGTTATCATTTACTTTGTAAATTATACAGTGGCATCTAAGTGGTGGCTTCTATTGTTTTCAGACCTCTGGGTAATGCTTGTTTTCTAAGCCATAGCGTTCTATTCTATTCATTCATTTGATAAATATACATTGAGTTCCTTCTGTGTCAGGCACTATGCTAGATGCTGAGATGTCAAACTAAAAGACCAGGTCCTGGTAATCCAGGTGTTCATAGCCTAGTGAGAAGGATGAGGTGCAAACAATTATTGGATGGTGTGGTAACTGCTAGGAAAGTGCACACAACGTGCCCAGAGATATGAACAAGAAAGGGATCAACCACAACTCTTTACAATCATGATCCCACTCATTAGACATTGATGCAGACGCTTTTATGGCTGCCGGCATCTCGTCTTAGGGTTGGCCAGCCTGTTGTCCTGGAGCGCTTGTCAGTTATGTGGGCACATGCCCAGGAAGGGCAGTGCAGATCCCTTCTTCACAAGATTTGCTATATGGACACATAGAGGTAGTCTCTTTTGTTTGAGTTGTTTTTGTCCTGTCTGCAAGCTTCCCACCAATCTGAGAGTTCACATAACGCAAAGAGAGACTAGGGGAAGCGCTTCTGAAAGATGGGAAGGGAAGCAGAGATCTGGCAGCACCGATCTAAGACTCTGGGTCCAGCTGTGCCAACCCCAAGAGGCCCAAGAAATCCCTGTTTTTGTTTAAGGTAGTAACTCCGGAAGAAAACAGAAGCCAAAATAGTCCTCTATACCAAGCTGGCCTTTCCTGGAGGGGAGGAGAGGGGGAGAAGATGGTTGCTTAATGGTTTCTTGACTCTTTTATACACAGAGTGAGAGAAATTCTTCTAGGCAGGAGAAGTAGCCAGATAATGGAGTAGCTGTGGAGTTAAACAGACTCAAATGGAATCCCAGCATTGCTGCCTACCAGCTGTATGACCTTGTTCCAATTCCTTCACCTCTGTTTCCCCATACGCTCCCTGCCTGTAAAACGTGGATGATAGGGTTTGCTGCATTGGACTACTGTGAGCATGGCGTGACATGAAGTACTGAGGTGGACACGTTGCTCAGTCATCCTGGTCTGCAACAAGCCCGTTTCTTCTGTGGAATTGCTCTCTACTCTAACCAAATGGTTCTGGAGGGCACTACCAATCATATAACCCAGCTGGCCGCACGGTTGTGCCACAGGCTGGGACAGTTATAATACCTCGTCCTCATAGCCCCAGGGATTGCTGCAGAGATGGGCACGCAACCCACGTCGGGGTCATCAGTGATCTCACCTGCGAATTGTGAAATTATCATTAATGAAGTTGGGATTGAAGAATGACATTTCCTCTGTGGTTTATGATGATTTAAGTTCAGAGCTGCCTGCAGTCATGGTTCCTGTAGTATGGGGATGGCAACCTTATGCAGAAGGAAGCAGAGATGAGCTAAAAAGGAAAGGAGAGAGTCCTGGTAAGAGTTTGTATTGCTGGATCTGGTTGTTCCCGCAGCTCCACCTCTGCCCCTGGAGTGAATTGTGCCTACGCTAATGCAAGCTGGGTTTCTGTTCCTCACAACCGAGTCTTGATCAAGACGGCATTTCGTGTGAAGCAGATAGCACAAAATAATGCTAACAGTAAATATTCAGCACAGAAAGTGCTCCCAGGAAAATGGTTTTGGGCTTTCCAGACTTATGAAATCTCTAATTTAAGGTAAATTCAGAAGTCCTTGTATATAGGTCCTGGTTTACAATCATGACAGTGTTTTAATATTAAGTGGCCTCCCAGTGTCTCAGAGGTTTCTGCTGAAAGCTACAAGCCATTCCCAAGCAGGGGTTGGAAGTAATGCCCGTTTTAAAGGAGACCAGCCTACTTTAGCCAAAGAACTGGCAGGAGATCTTTGTCCTGAGAATTTCTAATTAACCCTCCAGAGTTTCAGCACAACTAGATGGCTAAGAGCATGTGGGCCAATGTGCTGAGGCGTGATGGAGGAAAAGAACCATACACTGAAACAATGCTAACGGCTGGATAAATGAGAGCGTTTGGATGAAAATCAGCTCTGCCTTGAATACAACCGTGGAGGGTTTTATTTCTATTAAGAGAGGTGGGAAGTATCTGCATTGGGTAGTCTAATATGTTAAATCCCAGTTGCCTTGAATAAGTTTATGTGTTAATGACTTCTGCCTACGAAGCTAACCCAATAATAGCATGTTGGGTAGACAAAGACCAGCCCGTCACTGTCATTTGTAAGGAATCGGAGGTCTACCACCTGTCACTTTTTAAAAACCAACAAGATCAGCCATCTGGCCAGAGATAAAATGCCCAAACCTACCTAGTCCTCATCTATCTCTGACTACTCATCTCTGTCTTAAAGGAATTTTCCTTCATCTTCAGTAAGTCTAATTATAGCAAGCCCTCACACCATGGGACAAGTGGGAGAGGCTGATGTGACAGAAATGCTGAGAGAGACCAGGGGACAAAGGCTTTGAGCATGGCTACCGGAACTGTAAATGGTCGCTTAGAACCCTACAATGAATGGTTCCTTCAATTAAGCAGAGCCAACCTAGGACAACCAATTAGGAAGGCAGGCTGTATGGGATCACATAAACTAGTCTGAATTATCAGCTGTCCCACCTTAGAATTCTCAGGGTCTGTCATCAAATGATCCAGGAAAGTAACTTGCAGTCCCCATCTTGTCAAAATGATAGGTATATTGATCCGATGCACTGGAACATCTCTGGTATCATTATGGCATATTAGGACTTCATTTGTGTAATTCTTGTAGGAGGCCTGAATGAGAATGGCTTAAATATGTAAAAGTGTTTTTCCCCATGATTTTAGCATTTGACTTGTTGCTTTATGCATCTCTAGACTTTGGTCTATGTTCAAGGCAAAAAGAAGGGGACTGGTGGTGCCAGCCATGTCTGCCCCCTTCTGTCTGGAAAGCAAAAGCTTTCCCAGAAGAGTTCTCGGCAGAAATCTGCTTATAGCTCATTGGCCACATCTGGGTCTTGTGACCAGCCCTTGCCGTCATACAGCTGAGAAAGTGGAAACAGGTACGGACTCATGACTGCCCAACAAAACTACAGTTCTGTTAGCAAGCAAGAAGGGGAATGCATGGATTTTGGCTAGGTAACCAACTGTCTGTCTTGATAGTTTTAAGGTCTACACATCTCTTTAAAAATATATTTTTATTGATTTCAGACAGAAAGGGAGAGGGAGAGATAGAAACATCAATGATGAAAGAGAATCATTGATCAGCTGCCCCCTGCATGCCCCACACTGGGGATCGAGCCTGCAATCCAGGCATGTGCCCTGACCAGGAATTGAACCATGACCTCCTGATTCATAGGTCAACACTCAACCACTGAGCCACACTGATCGGGCAAGGTCTACACCTCTTCACATAGCAGCCCAAATATCTGCACCTCTTCACATCGTAGCCCAAATATGGAACTTTCCTGTTATTGAACTGCATGTGTTTAGCAAGTCATAAAGCAGCATAGCTCAATCATCTTGCTCCCAACAGAACAGAAAGCACTCTCTTCTTTAAAGACCAAGTGTTATATTCTTTCACTGTGAACAGCATCTACTGTGTCTACTGTATAGATCTTTGACTCTGTCTCCTAGGAATATGGGAACACTGATCACCTGTAGAGACTATTCAAATACCTTAAGGCTTCAGGGTCAAAAGGACAAAGTGGTTTTACCCAGTATGACTTCTCTCTAAGCAGCAGGAACATTTTTACTAACAATCCAATCCAAAAACAGCTCATGTTCCTGTACTCCCCACCCTCACCCCACTCCAACACACAATCCCACGGCAGGCAAAGCAAAAATAACAAAAGTATGTCAACCTAAATAACTATCAGTACTTACCTCCTTAAACCGCTCCACCCAAATGACAGAAGAACAAGTTAGTAGTTATTAATCCTTGGCTTTCCAGTGCTCAGTCTGAACAAAAAGGAAAAACAAAACAAAACAGTCAAACAAAACAAATATTGCTTCCCAAGATTAGAGCCAGAGTTAATCTGGGTAGAACTACTCAAAGACTAAGTTACCAAATTCCTGTGTCATAATCTAGTCCTACAGGTGCATGATGTGTTTTTCATGTTGAATGGTGCCATTACAGGAGCTTTCTCTTACAGGTGGCCTGCCACCAGGCCCTACCATGGCTGAGTTCTAATATCTGTTCCCCTATATCTTGGCCATACAGGATGACAGACTGCTAAGACAATTTGCCAATGTCTCCTTCCTTCTGAAGCCCAAAAGCAAAAGACCTTTTCATGTCAACACTTACTGTCCTCACAGGAGCTCATAGGAAAATTCAGTAGAAGACAATGGTTGGTGACACCATCTCCAGCCAGGTGGCCGATCTGTATTGGTTTAAAGAAAGTAATAGGCTCTCGATTCCTTATAAATGAATCTGGGTCAGGCTGGTCTTCATCCACCCAACAGGCAGAAGTCATTAACACAAACTTATTCAAGGGAATTGAGATCAACTATGATCTCAGGCCACCCCGATGAAAGGAACTCCCCACTTTTTAAAAATAAAAATAAAACCCTCCAAGACTATCAATGGAAAGAGAGACTCCAAATGAGACAGAGCAGCATGGCCACAACCTGACTCTGAATCCCTGACAGCCGGCTTCCTCTCGAGATGCTTCACCAATGACCGTTGCCACCAAGTTGCTTGTTTCACCTTGGGCTCTCTGGTCCATGACTGAGTATAACTCAGTCTTCAATGTAAAACTCTTTCTTAAATGTCCCCTTGTATAGCTAAGACAAAGTTGAAATGCTTAACCAAGACAAAGGAAGGAAATCATAAAACAGAAATAGGTGGAAACATTAAACTAGAGAAACTGGTTTGTAGGCATGGCTCCTTCCCAGGCTCTCAGGCCCTGGGATGTTCTATCTCTCATGCTTCTCCCATGAAGCGGGGCCACCTCGTGTGTCTATAAACGTAAACATGTATCTATATGTCTCAGCTCCTAAGAATGAAAGCCCTGAGACTGCATCTCAGAGGGGCCTCCCTATTTAAGGCCCACCTACTAAGTTCTTACTGAAGTCACCCTCTAACAGAATCATGGCCCACTGCACATTAGATCATGCCTGACCACAGAAATATGCACTTTTCTTTACCCCTTGCTCCCTCTTGACAATATTATTTATTCAGCCCATTATTCATATGATCACTTGAAAAATATTTATTGAGTACTCACTATGTCCCAGACAATGCACTAAGACTACATTGGAAAAAAACAAACCATAATCACTTTCCTTCTGAAGCTGCTTTAAAAATAGGTGTTTTTTTTAAAAAAGGTTTTAAAGAGTCTTTATATTTCAGAGACACATACTTAAATATGAACTAGAGGCTGGGTGCACGAATTCTTGCATGGGTGGGGTCAGGCCCACCCACCCCAATCAAGGCTGATCAGCTTGGCCAGGGCTGCAGGTGGTTGGTGGCCAGCCCTGCCCCTGATTGGGGTAGTGGGGAGCAATTGTGGGTGGGGCCAGCCGGGGGGAGGGGCCTCGAGTGGTTGGCTGGCCCCACCCCCTTGTGGAACTCCCGGTGGAACTCCTGGTTGAGGGGACAATTTGCACATTAGCCTTTTATTATATAGGATAAGCTGGTAATTAGTATAGATTAAATAAGTTTGATGATGAGCTGAGAATTATTGAATGTGGGTGGTGGGTACAGTGGAGCTTATTATAGACTATTTTGTGTGTGTTTAAATTTTCTAAAGTAAAGCAAAAAGGTTAAAAAAGCATTCATATGGCAGTAGTTGTTAGATGCCAATTAATATCAGTCAGTGCATTCCACGCCCTCAGATTAGAACGTCAGCCTGGAGGAGTGTGGGGCTGGGATACTGACCACAGACACACACTCCAAGAGATGCTCATGCTGGGCGGTTTTCAGAGCGTCTCCATGTTCTGGATACGAGTTTCCCCCTTCTGCCCTGAGATAGACAGTGATGGAGAAAATGGCCTGAACACTACTTGACACGCATTGCTGGTAGAGCCAGGAATTTCTTTTATCTAAGCATCTGGCTAAACCACAAAAGGAGAAAGGGTTTTTAAATGGACTAAGGAATAAGAATGATACCGTGTGCAAATCCTTTTATAAAAATGAATTCATCCTAGCCGGTTTGGCTCAGTGGATAGAGCGTCAGCCTGCAGACTAAAGGATCCCGGGTTCGATTCTGATCAAGAGCACATGCCTGGGTTTTGGGCTCGATCCCCAGTGGGGGGGGCATGCAGGAGGCAGCCAATCAATGATTCTCTCTCATCATTGATGTTTCTATCTCTCCCTCTCCTTTCCTCTTTGAAATCAACAACAAAAAAAATATTTTAAAAAACGAATTAAAACAAGCATTATTCAAGGCAACTGAGATCAACTATGATCTCAGGCCACCCCAATGAAAGGAACTTCTAACTTTTTAAAATTAAAATAAAACCCTCCAAGATTATCCATGGGCCAAAACCGGTTTGGCTCAGTGGATAGAGCATCGGCCTCCGGACTGAAAGGTCCCAGGTTCGATTCCGGCCAAGGGCATGTACCTGGGTTGCGGGCACATCCCCAGTAGGAGATGTGCTGGAGGCAGCTGATCGATGTTTCTCTCTCATCGATGTTTCTAACTCTCTATCTCTCTCCCTTCCTCTCTGTAAAAAATCAATAAAATATATTTAAAAAAAAAAAAAAAAAAGATTATCCATGGAAAGATTTCTCTGAGAGCCAGGAAAATTGAGGTAGTTATTAAGTTTGTGCTAGAATCTATTAAACTATTAACAAAATCGCTGTTATCTTGTTATAAAAACGATTGTGTTGGCCCAATTTTCACAGGCAGGATGTATAGGCCCAGGATTGCTTGACCATTACTAGCTTCCTCTTTTTTATTATATATTTTTATTGATTTCAGAGAGGAAGGGAGAGGGAGAGAGAGATAGAAACATCAACGATGAGAGAGAATCCTTGATTGGCTGCCTCCTGCAACCCCGTAATGGGGATCGAGTTCACAACCAGGCCATGTGCCCTGACTGGGAATTGAAACGTGATCTCCAGGTTCGTAGGTCGATGTTCAACCACTGAGCCACGCTGGTTGGGTCATCACTAGCTTCTTATGCACAAAGAAAAGTGAGGAAAGGGAAGTGGAGTGGAATAGGACAGGTAGATGTTTGGGGCAATATACGAACAAGTTGCAAATTAGATCCAGGACTTTGAACTCCACTGAGACACAGAGAAAAAAGGGGTGGAGGGGAAGGAAGCAGACACGTGCAACACCAGTAGGAGAAAGGGGTAGGTGTGTGTTAGAGCTCCAAGGAACAGCAGGAGCACACTTTTGGTGAGCTCCTGGCGGGCTCCAATATGTCACCATAAAGTCAGGGCACTGAGCTTTTGACATAAAGCCCTGTGTGAGGGGAAGGAGGCTGGGATCGCTGTCCTCAGGGCCTTTCTGGATTAGGGCAGCATAAGCTAACAGTGACACCAAATGTAGCGCCTGGCTCCCAACACTGCCGCTGCCTGAAATGTCCTCCTGCCCCCTCCCAGGCCCCTCCACTTCTCTGAGTCCTATTCTTCCTCCAAACCATCCTTCTCCAGGAACCCTTCCTTGATCATCCAAATTCTCCATTATGTCTCCCACACCACAGCTCCCACAACATTGACTGTCGGCACCATTCATTTGGATCGATCATTACTTTAGAAGATATAAATATATCTCATACATATATACATAGATACATATTTATACCGATATATATATATATATGCGCACATACATATTTTTATCATCACACTGTAAGATCCAAGAGGGAAGAGGCTAGGTCTGATTTGTAACCACTGTGACCCATTCCATCCAGCCCCGTGCAAGTGGTACACAGCGGTTTCGAGGTGAACTTACATGGAATTTAAAGTCAGAATTCCTGTGTTTTAGCCCTAGTTCTGCCACTCACTAGAGGTCTAATATTGGACGAGTCACAAGTCACTTATCAGAGGTTTCCTCGGCCTGGTTTCCTCCTCAAGAAAGGGGTTAAACATGACGACTACGCCCTCAAAATTAAATGATGGAGGTGGAAGCACTTTGTAGAACACTATTGAGGTTTAGAATAATGTTATTATTCTGCCCTGAGTTTTAATCTGACTGTGTGGCCTTGGGCAAGTTATTAACCCCTAGAAGCCTTCGCTTCATCGTCTGTAACACAGGAGACACACCGCTGGCTCACAGGCGTGTTTTAGGAATTAAATGAAATGGCACAGACAGTGTGACCAACACAGCAAGCGGCGCCCAGTGCTCAGAAGTCGGTTGCTTCTAGTCTTACCGGGCACATCGCATGAAGCCTTGGTCTTGTGTCCCTAGCAGCACCCCGCACACAGAGCTCAGAAGTATTTCCTCTTCCGGATAATGCTGCTCAGGATGATGCTGGTGAGGATTAGTAAGAGCTGTGGGCGAAGACGAGCTATTAGTCACCCAATGCCCAGCAAACCTACTTTACCTTTGAACACACACATGGAGGCCTGCGTGGCCCCCCCTCTCCTTCATGATACGTGGGTGAGGGTGGGAGGAGGCCTCCAGTCTGGCAGCGGCCCCTTTAAAAATGTGCCTGGGCGCCTCCTCTGCCAACCAAGTTGCTAAAAATACCACCACAGCAAAGCTGAAATATTTGCACAGAAAACTCAATTTCTTGCTCCCTCCACGCCTTCCACTCCAACGGGTGAAATCCTGACCTAAGAAGCCCCCAGATCAGCTCCACCGACAGCACAGGCCTCTGCTGGTCGTGGAGTCCCTCTGTGGGCTGTTCTGTGCAGAGCGTGCCTCCCCCAAGGAGGGGGAGCCGCAAGGATTGGCAAATAGCTTGCCATGTGTTTTGGCTTTTCTCTCTGCTTCCAAGGACCACACTCTCTCCAAATCCCCTCCATCTGTCCCAAGAAGGCTCTGTCTTGTACCCCAGAAGCTTCCCTCTAATCCGTCTTTTCTCTTCTCTTTCCTCTAACCACCTCCTCCTCTGCTGGTCTGGGCTTCTAGGCAGTGCCCCTCCCCCTCCACGCTCCTTGCTGGGTCCAGCCCACCAATCCATAGGCCCTTCTCCCTCTCTCATCCGGCCCTTCTGGAGCTCATCTGCCCGAGGTCCTTTTTCTTCAGTGGCTGCGGGGGGGGGGGGGGGGGGGGGGGGGGGGGGGAGGTTTTGAAATGCAAGAGTCAAGGAGGACCAGGACGGGCCCAGGCCCAGCTGGTTCATAACAGGTTATTCTCCAAAAGCTGAACTTGACACCAAGGCCGCTGGCCAAGCAGTCCTCAGCCGGGAGCCTCACCTGGCCCTGCTCTGAAAGGTCCAGAGTCTCAGCGAGCCAGGCGGCCAGACCCCGAGCTCCTGCTGCTGGGGTCCCTCTTCCTAGCGCATGCACTTGAGGCTCAGAGGCTCAGAGTTCCACCCCGCCCGTCTTGCTGACAAACCCTGGCCTCCTGGTCCAGGAGAGGAACACCTTAACAGGGGAAGCATGTCCCTGGCTCCGTGGTGGAGGAGGGGCCCCGCTTCTGTGCATGTGCTAGGATGTGTGTCTGCGCTCCTGGGTCTCTATGGACGTGTTATTGACACGAAGCCCTACGTGTTGCTGCCCCTGCCTCCGGATATTTGAGTTTGGGAGTGTCTGCCTTCTCATCACGGTCTCTGTCTTCCTCGCTACATTTTTCCCTCGCCTCGGAGCCTGCCCATCCCCCAGGGCAAGCTCCTGGCCAGTCCTGCGTAGGCGCCTCAAGTGGGCTGCTGCTGAAATGGCTGTTTTGCAGATGAAACTGGCAGTTGCCATACCTGGTCTTCCATGGGCCCGCCGGGGTTGACAGACACCCTCGCCCCACACAAAAGTGCCTTTTAGGAAGAGAGGAGGGCTGTGCTGCCTGTGTGGGAGTTTGGGGGGAGGCGCGATGGAAGGATATACCCTCTCCCCTTCAACTCTGACCAGCAGGAAGGGCGCCCAGAGGCAGCGCAGGCTGCCGAGGGACCGTTGCCTAGCAACTTGGGAGACTTGACTGCAAACTCACTAAATCCCGAATTCTAATTTGGGAAGAGAAAAAGCACAGAGTCCAGGCCTGATATCCACTCTGCCCCCGATTTCCTCCTTTTTCCTCTCGATATTCTGGAGTTGAAGTCTCACCGGAAGTGGCACAACTCAAGGGCCCAGATGTGCACATCCGCTCGGCAAGGGAGGGCCTGAGTTCCCCGGGGGCATCCTGCCATTTGGTGGAGGTGGGGGATGGAGGATGTGCCAGGGACAGATTGGAAAACAGATTTTCAGTTACAAGGTGGGTGGGTCCCAACCACGCTGGGAGAGACACCCTGACACCCCTCGCCCTGAGTCCCAGCCAGCACCCACCTCAGCTTGGGGGCCCAAGCTGGCCACCCCTGTCTGCATCACGAGTGGCCACTGGAATTTCCCTCCCGCTCGGTTTCCCTTCGGCAAGCAAAGCCCGGGCGTGCAGGTAGGAAGGAAGCATGGAACAGCCCCGCTCTGACTGGCCAGCGGCTGTGGGCTCACTGCAGTGCAGTTTCAGAATCCCCAACACACGCTCCCTCCTTGTTCCGTCTCAGTCAACAGGCCTGAGGAGCAGCCATCCTTTCTTCCTTCCCTCCTGTGGGATCCGAGTTGCAAAGGACTTGATAGATTTCTCAAACATGGCCCCCCACCCCCCCTCCATATGACAGGCCACACTGCTGCTCCAGAACCCTGACAGGGTGGGGGAGGCTGGCGACCACAAGAGTGGTGACTGCTCCTCTTAGATGTTCTGGCCATATCTCCCCTTCCCAGCCTCTTAGGAAGCCCGCATCCTTCCTTCGTGGACCCGAAGAGCCATGACTTCAATGCCTGTGCTGGGGTTTAGGGTATTTATTTGTCTTCCCAGGGGGAAGAGTGAGAGTGGCCAGTTTTCCTCTTACTCTGAAGCAGTGGATCAAGCGATTAGGGAACCTCTGGTACGGAAAGTGGGAGGAAAGGGTCCCTTTTCCCCAGTCAGTATCCATATATGAACACATACAAAATGAGTGCCGTGCACATAAGACTTTGTTTGGAGAAACGCATACAGATGGACAGAAGGATGGATAGCAGAAATGTAATGCAGACATCTGGGCTAGGGCGACTGCCTGTGTAGAGGCCTGTGCGGTTATTTTTGCGGGTTGTGTCTGTGTACAGGGTCTGCATGTTGAAGTGCGCATTTCGTGAACCTGGGGGAACCCTATATAGACACGTGGGCTTGTGAACGTTTCTGTTTGTGTGTCCACGAGCCGGTTGTATACCGACAGCGTTCTCCATTCCGCAGCTGTGTTGGTGGGACTTCTTAACCACACGTATTTTGGGGCTTTTCTTTGAGGGCGGAGGGGGAGGGAAGCTAGAGGGAGCCCTATTCGGGACTCTGGCTAGGTTGTGGAAGTGTGGGGAGGTGGGGGGGGGGCGGGGGGGGCGCGGTTTTCCATATATGGGTGGGAGGGCGTTGTGCCCAGATGTGTGTTTGCGCCTGGGATGTAGGGGCCTCCATCTGCCTGGCAGTCTGCCGCCTGAGCAGCAAGAGGTTGGATAGGGGAGGATGAGTGTGTAGGAGGAGTGGATGGAAATGTGTGGGAGGAGGGGTTGGGGCAGGAGCGGCAGCGCGGCGGGGGGGCGTGGCCGTTCCTCCAGTTTCCCCGCCCACCCTGTCCGAGGCGACTCGTGATTGGCTTCTAGACCGCAGGGCTCAGGTTACATTCGCGAGCAGAGCGGAGCGCGGGAGAGCGGACCGAGAGCGCTGCTGAGGGTTCGGCGCGGGTCAGCGCGTGCTGCTCGGCCCCCCGAGTCTCCTCCAGGGACCACTCGGACCCACCCCCACCCTGCGCCAGCTCCGCCCCGGCGAGGACCCCCTCCCCCAACACCAGTATGGACTGCTGCACCGTAAGTTAGAGGGCCCGGGGGACGGGCACCCTGATTGGTCTGGGGCAGGGACTCCAGGGAACCCCCTGGAGGGAGGGTAAGGGCAGGGAGAGAAGGGAGTGGGTGCAAAGACCCAGGAGCAATAGGTGTGCCTGCTGAGACCTGGTGGAGGGTGGTTGCAGGCACCCGCCTGACTTGGAAGCCCGAGGAAAATGCTCCCCATTTGCGGGGGCGTCTGGGCGTCTGGGCGCCCATCCTCCAGGCGGTCTGGGTTGGACTGGGAACTGGGCATGGCTCTGCAAGCAGGGAAGCTGCAGGTTAGAGGGAAAGAGAAACTTCCCCCTAGAGAGCGGGTAGAAACCATCGCCTAGGGATGCTGCATCGACTCCCTTCTGACTCTTCTCACACGCCTTCGGCCCCCAGCCCATTCCCCATCCCACTGCCGCCGCGGTGGGTGGGCGCACAGTAAGAGGCTCCGGAACCTCGAGCCCTGTTTGGCGCAGGGTAGGATAGTCAGTTCATATTGGTTAGCTTCGTGACGATGATGGACAGCAGAGAGCCTCGTCAGTGTGATTCTGGGGAGGGGTTGGCCCGGCTCCCAACGCCTTCTAGCCCCAGAGGGGACTGGGTGACCGCGGGAGAGCCCTGCTGGCGAGGGAAGGAAGTGTCTGCAGTCTGTCAGCGCCCACGGAGACCTAGATGCGCAAGTGCCTAACGTCAAAGTAGATTGCTGTTCAGGGGACTCTGGTATGAAAGTGCCTGGCTCACTAGAGGAATACAGTGATCATACATAAATATGAAATTTATTTTTCTTTTTTAATGACTGATTTTTAGCCCCATATATATGGAGAAAGGCTACTGCAAAGTCCTTGCTTTCTCAGCCATTCAGGCAACCCAACTAATGATACAAGAGCTTATGACTTTGCTTGCTCCCCACCCTCCACCCTTAAAAAAAGGGGGGGGGGCGAGGTTTGGAAGGAAAGGATAGCCCAGATTATAAAAGGTGAGAATTCCTTATAACTGGGTACCAAGAGGCAGAGAGAACTTAGGATCAAGCCGTTGTGGTTGTTATTATGATTTCAATTCATATTAATATTAATAATAGTTGTAAATTTGGGAATGCTTATCATGTACTTAACACTTTAATCATCACAATGGCCATGTGAAGTAGATATTATTTTCCCCATTTTACAGATGTGCAAACAGGTTTAGAAAGATTAAATGATTTGTCCATGGAGGCACAGCTTCTAAGTGTGAAGGCAGGATTCAAACGTAGCCTTGGCTGGTCCAAATACATTACCTCCCCTCTAAATATTTACTATTTCCCTCATTATAAAGGTAATTTGCTCATACAAGAAAATGTAAAAAACTAGAGATAAGCATAAAAAAGAAACATGTCAATCATTTGCAACCCCACCCCCTGGAAATGCCCTGGTAACATTTTTCATTCCAGTCTTTTCCTTTTATTCTCCAGGAGGCAATTTTTGGTTGTGGAAGGAGGACTGGGCTCTTAATGGAGGCTCTTGGGTTCCACCGAAGAAGAGCTCCTTACCCCTAACAGTATTTTTATTAAGTAGAGAAAATAGGTGGATGGAGGGTTCTGCATATGTGTGTGCGGGGGGGCGGGGAGGGACGGGGGGGCAATTGCTGAGATGGTAAGAATGATGGGGACAGCATGGTGAGTGAAAAGAGGTGAGAGAGCACAGAATCCAAGAGGCTGGGGAAGGAATGTAACTCATCTCAGATGGCGCCTGCAGGAGTAATTAGGGGAGAACGTTGGGTCTCTGCCTGTCGGCCCTGGTTTGCCCTGACCGCGCTCTTGAGTGCCCAGAAAGCCAACCTGAGTGGTTGGTAGGCATGTTTGGAAGGAGAGTCCCCTAAGAAAAGGAGAAGCTGCCCTCTAAACCGTACAGAAGAGGCAAATGCACAATTATCCCAGCTGTTGTGGCTGGGAGGGGTGGTGACGGCAGGTTAGTCTAAGTGTTATTGGAGAAAGAAACTCCTTCCTCAGTTCAACCTCCACAGCTGCCAGCTGGGGACAGGTGGGCCTCCAGCTGGGGACAGGTGGGCCTCCAGCTGGGGACAGGTGGGCCTCCAGCTGGGGACAGGTGGGCCTCCAGCTGGGGACAGGTGGGCCTCCAGCTGGGGACAGGTGGGCCGCCAGCTGAGGACAGGTGGGCCTCCAGCTGGGGACAGGTGGGCCGCCAGCTGAGGACAGGTGGGCCTCCAGCTGGGGACAGGTGGGCCGCCAGCTGAGGACAGGTGGGCTTCCAGCTGGGGACAGGTGGGCCGCCAGCTGAGGACAGGTGGGCTTCCAGCTGGGGACAGGTGGGCCGCCAGCTGAGGACAGGTGGGCCGCCAGCTGGGGACAGGTGGGCCGCCAGCTGGGGACAGGTGGGCTTCCAGCTGGGGACAGGTGGGCCACCAGCTGAGGACAGGTGGGCCGCCAGCTGAGGACAGGTAGGCCGCCAGCTGAGGACAGGTGGGCTGGGGCTGGTTTCTTTGGTCATTCTCCTCTTTTGAGGAGAAACTTCCCAGTTCCCTGAGAATATCCCAAAAATGGCTTAAGCCTTTGGTTTCTAGGCGGGGAATAAGATGTCAGGAAGAGAGCACAAGATGGGGCGGGGGGAGGGACGGGGGGACGGACAAAACGTGTGCCAGGCCCTCCACGATCACACCGGCCTCTTGATAATTCCCTTTCACTGCATTTAACTAACGATGGGCACACACTGAAGGACTCTGAAATCTATGAAGCGAAGATAGCCGTCGGAGGCACGGCGAGGAAAGGCATTTGTAATCTGCGCTTAGACCTCTGGGGTTTTCATCTGTGCTCCCGGGGCAGGACCTGGTTGGGGTGGTGATCACTGAAGGCCCCACTTCTGTGAACTGGATGGGGAAGTGCATAGAACTGGACGACTACATGAGACCTGGTCATCGCACGCCCAGGGAGCCAACCACAGTGAAAGCAGTGGAAATCCTCAGGCTGAACAAAGGGCAAGTTCCTAGAAGCCAGAGGGTCAGGTCAAAGGAGAAATGCTCTTCTGACTTCATAGTAACCATCTGCTTCCCAACCCACATTAACACAGCACACAGGGGTCAGGGGCTGAGGCCCTCTCCAAGCCGGGGCCTTGCCTCTGAAATCACTGTGGCCAATCAGTGCCCTGCTCCTTTCTACTCGCAGCTGGGGCAGGCTGTGGGAGAAACAGAAAGCTGGGATGTGGGGTGGAGAGGGAGAGAGAGAGAGAGAGAAACATCAATGATGAGAGAGAATCACTGATCAGCTGCCTCCTGCATGCCCCACACTGGGGAGGGAGCCCACAACCTGGGCATGTGCCCTGACCTCCTGGTTCATAGGTCGATGCTCAACCACTGAGCCATGCTGGCTGGGCTGAAATTATTTTTATATGACCAATTTCACCTACAAAAACAACTAGTCCACATCAACTCATTATTTAAACAAATTATAGTAATATCTGCCATTTACTGCACAGCTAGAGTGTGTCAGAAACTTTATGCATATTGAGTTGTTTATTCTTCCCCACAACCCACAGAGGTAGGTATTATCCTGACTTCAGAAGGGGCCCTTTTGAGCTGGAGGCATCTCTGAGGACAGGGAGAGGCAGCCACATCCAGGAGTGCCTGCTGCTCGCGTGGCTCCTCCAACCCCGCCCCCTCCTGTCAGCTCTACCGCCCCCCATCTCCACTGACGGCCATGGGCCCTTGGCCACTCAGGGGTGTCTGGTTGTCTTGCATCCCATCCCACCGTGCGCTTCTCTTTCCTGAGTGGGGAATACAACTGTGTCCACCTGAACCTGGACGTGAACCGCCCCTTTTTCCTGCCACTGCCCAGGAGGGACACACACACACACACCCCAGCGACACCCTGCCTTAGCCCTTCACCACCCCTTCCCTGCACTTCCTACCCCCGCCTCGCCCTCGCCAACCCCTAAGGCTCTCCTCCTGCCTAACCCGCGCCGGGTCTCGGCCCAGTCCCCGCACCAACACCCCTGCCCCGCCCCCAGGAGAGCGCCTGCTCCAAGCCGGACGAGGACATCCTAGACATCCCGCTGGACGATCCCGGCGCCAACGCCGCCGCTGCCAAAATCCAGGCGAGTTTCCGGGGCCACATGGCCCGAAAGAAGATCAAGAGCAGAGAGAGCGGCCGGAAGGGCCCGGGCTCCGGGGGGCCTGGCGGAGCTGGGGGCGCGCGGGGAGGCTCGGGCAGCGGCCCCAGCGGAGACTAGGCCAGGTGAGCGGGTCCTTCCCCAGCCCTGGGGGCCGCCGAGAGCACCCGCTTCTCCTCCGAAGGAGCAAGGAAGACGGAGGGCGGGCAGAGGGAGAAGGGGGGGAAGCTAAGGGTGGGGGACTGGAAATCTGGGACGGGAGGTGGGGGGTTGGGGGAGGGAGCTTAGGGCGCTGCGGACCCGAGAGCTCACCGATTTCTCTCTCCACTCCCCCTTCCGCCCCTCCTCCCCCGGCCCGAAGAACTGAGCACTTTCGAAGGTAACAGGACGACCTGGAGGCGGCGGGGTGGGAACCCGAGTGGGAGGGAGAAAAGGAGCCGGTCCCCATCCCTTCCCTCTGCCCGCCCTCGGCCCCCCCCCCCCCCCCCCGGCGCCGGAAAACGCGCCGTGCGACCGCGGGGGTTTCTGATTCCTCCCGACGCCCGAGGCTGCGGTGGGGACACACCTGAGCCAACACAGATGTGCAGTCACCCCGTTTGGCTACTTGATCACGGCCGGGGGCTCTGGCGCACCGTGGTGCGCGCACGTACCGGCCGCAGCTGGGTTCAGATCAATGACTCGGTGGGGGGTTGGGGGGGAATCCGGGGTGCCTGGGGCCCCTGGCGCTCCCGCCCTGTGGTCCGGGTCTAGGAAGGGGGAGAGGAAGTACCGGAGAGGGCAGGTGCTCAGACCTTCTCTGTCCTCAGTTCCCCAGGAGAGATGGATGCCGCGACCCCTCCGCAGTGACGCGACCTCCCCGCAGTGTTTGTGACCCTCCCCTTCCCGCCACCCTGCCAGCTTCGGGAGCCGCCCTACGTCCTCAGAGACCCTGGCCCAGGCCGGCTCCGTCGAGGAGTCGCCGAGTCCGTGCCCGTCCCTGTGGTTCTCCACCCCAGTGAGGTCCCGTGCGCCCTCCTTCCCCACCTGGCCCCAGACCTCGCACTCCCCGCGCGTCTGTCCCCGCTTCTCACCCCGCCTCCGCGCACCTGCATGCAGTTTGGCCTCCACGGCCTCCTCGGCGATCCCCCGAGTGCACCGCAGAGGGCGCCCTACCCTCTACGTTGCCCAGGACACGCACTTGAAAAAAAAGCCCTTTCGTTCCCCGCACGGCTACAGGGGGCGTCTTTCTTCTCTGTGCCGTTCTCGCCCTCGCCCAGCCCCAGAACTTTGGATCTGGGGCGAGGAGAGGGGGGGAGAGAGTTTTTATGGTGTCTGGTACCCCTTGCTCCGATGGGAAGGGAAGTCCCTCTTGCACACCCCACCCCACGCCTGCCTGCCATCGGCCCTCCGCGCACCCAGGCGCCGCAGAGCCACCCCTCCACCAGCTCTTCTTGTTTTGCGGACGCTGAGCGCGGGGTGGCTCGGTGGGAGGAGTCCGTTGTGGCCCGGCCCCTGCCCTGCTGGCTCCGCCCCCGACGGGCCCCTGGGGCTGTGGCCGGAAGATTTTTTTTTAATTTTTTTTTTTTTTTTTTTAATCTACGAGTGTGCATGTGACTGTGCTGGGTTGGAATGTGAACAATAAACAGGAATGTCCAAGTGTCCCAAGGGTGTGAGAGGGGAGGGTGCCTGGGTGCACAAAACCATTGCTCACAACTTGAACAAGTCTCCTTTGACCCAACCAAAGGGTGGAGGTGGGGGGGAAGGGCGAGAAGGGCGAGAAGGGCGAGGGACGTCGGATAAAACCTCCCCTTCCCGAAGACAGCATCACATCCGGGCCGTCAGCCCACTCCTTCCCTGACTGGTAACACTCCGGGCCGCCTAGGGGGTTTGCTGCACCGCAGAAGGAAGAGGGAGACAAGATGGTACCCGGAGGCTTTAATTGTGGGTGTTCCCCCTCGGTGATGGGCGGGGAAGTCAGACGACCACAGGGAGCTTGGACTTGGTGGTCTTCACAGAGGCGGCAGAGGGGGGCTTCTCCAGGAGCCCATCGCTAGGATCAGTCATCCCAGAGGTTTGCTCAGAAATCCCAGGAGCGGTGGCGTCCTCTCTGATGGTTGTAAACACATTCTTAGTGGCGGCTGGAGGCCTCCCTCCCTCCACGGACACTCCTCCCCCGACCCAGGGTCCTGGACACTTTACTGTGCCTTGAGAATGAATCATCTGCTGAACATTGGTTGAAATGAAGATTCCAGGCCCCATCACCCCCAACACACACATGCTACTTTCGGGAGGGGTCGGAAGTGGCCTGAATCTGAATGTTAACGAGCTCCCAGGCATTTCTGTCCAAAGGAGATCGAGCCCACAACCCGGGCATGTGCCCCTGACCTCCTGGTTCATAGGTCAACGGGAGGACCACACTTGGAGGAATACTGCTCTGGTGCCTAGTTCGGACCCCACAATTGACAATGGATGACAGAGGCAGCTCTTATCTCTCCTCTCCTTGCTGCATCCTCCCCCCCCCCCCGCCCCCCCCCCCCCATATACACACAGAATTAACACTCAGCTGAACGCTCAGGGCAAATCTAACTCCTGGAATCCACGACCTGTTGATGTTTATGAAAGGCCCTGAAAACTGAAAATTCTTATAAGTATGAAGAGGGTAAGGGCAGCTTATACACTTGCTCACACACAAATACACCCCTACACACACACACACACACACACACACACCCCAAATCCCAGGGCTGAGCGGCACTCCATACCCCCCAAAGATGTCACAGTTTGAGGGCTGGCATCATCTACCCTTACTCCGAGCCCTGTCCTCTCTCGGCCCTACCCACCCTTCTGCTCACCGAAGGTCACTACCCCCGTAAGTCTCCTTAGGCCTCTTCCTCCTCTCTTTCTGGAATCTCATGAGGCAGAATACAGCAACAGACAGGATCAGCACGCCCAGGAGCACTCCGATCACCGCCCCGGCCACTCGGCCTTTGGAAGGGTCTAAGGACACACAGGACCCTCAGAGCTGCAGACCCTCCTTGGCCCCTCAGACCATCTCATGCAGCCTCTGCAGCCCAGGCCTGCCTGCCTGGCCTCTGCCCGGCATCCCTACCAGTCACAGACAAGGTCAGTTCGCAGGAGGCACTGCCCATCTGGTTGGTGGCCACACAGCGGTAGGTGCCAGAGGAGGCCCGCGAGAGATTGGTGAGAATGAGCTGACCGGACACCTCATCTAGAGAGTAAAGAGGAAGTAAGTGTTCCATTACTGGACTCGCAGTGAGCACCCCCTATGACGAAAGCACTTTTCATTTCATCCTGTCAGGAAGGGACTAACCTCAATGTATTAGTCAGTCCCTTCCTAACCAATAAATGCCAAAGCCACTGCAACTCCTGTGCACTTTCCGCCCTGCGCAGCTGCCTTCTCAGGGAGGGGGAGGCTGCACACGTGTGAAGCTCAGAAACTGGCAATGGAATTGGGGTGGGTGCTCACAGGCTGATGTCAGGTTCCTGGTTGCAGGGCGGGTGGGGAGGGGGGAGGGGGTCTTCATCACTAGAAACTGTATCCCCTGGGATGGCTCTAAGCTGGACCCAGTGTTTTTCTAAGCTGCTTACCTCCCCCCCCTTTTAAAAAAAATATATTTTTATTGATTTCAGAGAGGAAGGCAGAGGGAGAGAGAGCTAGGAACATCAATGATAAGAGAGAATCATTAATTGGCTGCCTCCTGCACGCCCCCTACTGGGGATTGAGCTTGCAACCCAGGCATGTGCCCTTGACCAGAATCAAACCCAGGACCCTTCAGTCTACAGGCCGACACTCTATCCACTGAGCCGAACCGTCGAGGGCTAACCTTTCTTAAGAAGGCGGAGCACACAGCAGGAAGTGACCTGGGCTCTCTGGATTGAGAGAGGGTGGGCTGGGGCTGGGAAGAGAGAGGGCACTGGAGCGAGCATGAGGAGGCTGAGAAGCCAAGGCTCTTAGCCAGTTACACGGTTCCCCCAGAGAAACCAGCTAAGTGATCAAGACGGTCCATGCTACTCTGCCTCAGTTTCCCTTCTAGGAAGTTTGGAAATGATTCATGACCCTGAAGAAATCTCAAAAAAAACTCTCCCAAACAGACAAGCGGGGATCACAGAATGCCCCTGCCTTTCACTCTCTTCCACAATATCAGGAGTCTACTGAGCTTGAGAAATGCGTCCAGGATCACGCAGTCGCAGACTGTGCAGGGAGACAGACAGGAGGCACCAAGACAGGAGCCAAGGAAGATGCAGGGAGAAGGTATAGCATTTGTTTCATGCACACAGGCCTGGCGCTGGTATTGTGGGTGCGTGGGGTTTAGAGACCAGGTTTGCCCAGGTCCTGAGTCCCCCTCCTCTTCCTTCACGCCGGCCCTTACCTTGCACCATGCTGCCAGGAGGAGGTGTAGGAGAAGATCCAAGGCGGACCCAGTTGTACACGGGCCTGGGAGCCCCTTCAGAGGAACTGCACCTCAGGGCAGCAGAGCCTCCCACAGACGTGTGACCGGTCTGGCTGCACACGGGGCCACTGGGGGGCACTGCAAAAGTCACAGAAAGAACCTTGGTGGGCTTCCGATCCCCCGCCCCCCGCCCCCCATGAAATGCTGGATTTCCTCATTCAATACTCCACCAAACAGCGGTCCACTTTTGGGGTAGAAACCTGGCGGGGAGGGTCCTGTGTCTGCATCCCCAGGAAATGATTCACATGATTGGAAATTCTGATTGTTAGAAAAATGTTCACGTTGAGCCCAAATCTATGTTAATATCTACCCATTGGTCCCAACTCCTGCCCTCTGGGCCCACAAAGGGAAACGGAAGATCTCTCCTTCACAGGACAGCCTTTCAGATTCAACACCTCCTAAGTCAGCGGTTCTCAGCCTGTGGGTCGCGACCCCTTTGGCGGTCGAACGACCCTTTCACAGGGGTCGCCTAAGTCCATCCTGCATATCAGATATTTACATTACGATTCATAGCAGTAGCAACATGACAGTTATGAAGTAGCAACGAAAATAATTTTATGGTTGGGTCACAACATGAGAAACTGTATTTAAAGGGCCAGAAGGTTGAGAACCGCTGTCCTAAGTGGTCTCTTTTCCATCTAAACATCCGCAGCCCCTTTAGTCGTTTCTTCTGTTTGCTCATCTCCGAACAGGCTCTAGTCAGGGGTGAGATGGAAGCTCTGAACACAGAATTGGTGCTTAGTGTGGTAGAGGCCCTTGTTCCTTTAATGGTCATCCCCTGCCTCTGCCACTGACCTGGGGAGGGACAGACTCTGAGGTGCAAATGGGAGGTTCCCCAAAGATGGAGCTGTTGGGGGCATGACTCAAACCCTGTATGCGGGACCTTTGTTATAGGGCCTGAGGGAGGAGCACCTGTGGAGGGTGGAGCAGGAGCAGGACTGGCTGGGTCAGAAGGCTCAAGGAAGGAGGTACTTTCCCTCGGGGTCCCCAGTGCAGCTGTGTGCTTGGGCTGGAAGTCAGGATATGGGGGATCTACCAGGTCCCGCATCGTCTTTCAGGGTGTGTGGGTCCCCCGCCCCCCTTACCCAGCACAGTAAGGTTGACTAGCCCCAAGCCATTGGTGTAGAAATCTGGCGGGTTGTTGACTTGGCAGAGGTAGGTTCCTGTGTCTGAGGGCTGGACATCCGCCAGGGTCAGGGTGGCCACCCCTCCTGTGGGGGGGTTCTGACGCAGGCTGGCCCGCTTTGCCTTAGAACCCGTGGGATACAGCTGTCCGTTGGTGAAGTACAGGATCTGGGGAGAAGCAGAAGACACACACGCGCGCACTCCTTCTCCTGGCTGGCATCAACGCTTGGTCCCTTCTCACAAGGCCCATCCCTCACTCCAGCCAGGGAAGCTGACACTCTGTAGCTGGAACCCCCAAGGTCTAGCTCCCCAAATACCAGCCCTTCCCAAGTGGGAAACGGACTATATTCGCTGCTTTCAACTAAGTATGGCTCTCAATTTGGGGAACAAAATACAAATATTCGTGGAAGGGGCAGCATTTTATCCTACTTTCAATCCCAGCAGCTGAGGTCCATTACCAGCGTGTATTAACAGCAGCTGGGCCTGCACTGACGCGGGGGATTGCATAGGCAGCCACGGGATAGGCAGGTGGCTACAGGAGCGTGTGTGTGGCCTGGGATTACAGATTTCGGTCCTCTAGAAAGATTCTAGAAAGAGTCCACTTCTTTTCTCGTCCAAGCACACTGATCCCTCAACACACCCTCCCTGCCCTCAGCCTGGGTGGGTTCCCAGTTCCTGCCTCGCCGGGCCTACCCAGCCACAGGCCAGAGCCGCCCCCTGGCCTCCTCCCCCACCCCCAGCTCACGGGCGCGGACGCAGAGATGGGCTTCCCGGGCTGCACAAAGCTCCACTCCAGGGCGAAGCTGTCCGTCACGGATGTGCTGTAGGTGCAGGTCAGCTCGGCCGACTTGCCCACCGGCGCGCTCAGGGGCTCCGCGGGCACACGCACCTCCACCGCGCGGCCGGGCGCTGGGGGCGCACAGGGAGGGCGGCTCAGACGGCCAGCCGGAGGCCGAGGGGGTGGGGTCGGGGGCCGGACTCCCAATCTCAGGGGGGATCTGGAGCCCGGCCCACCGGTGGGTCTTCCCCCAGCCCTCCCTTCTCCAAACCCAAAGTTTCAGGAGGGAGGAGCGCACATCGCGGCTGAGTTCTGTGGGTAAAAGGACGAGCCTGGCCAGGTATGCGGGTGTGTTTGTCCGGGAGAGGAAAACAATGGTTCGGCAGTGGTTCAGGCCTCCCCGGGGGAGGCCCGGCTCGGCTCCCTGGCCCTACCGGCCCTGGATGCCCTCTCCCCGGCCTCGCGCACCCCCAGCCCGGCCCCTCCTCACCAGTCATGCAGACCAAGCCCAGCAGCGCCCCGCACAGCAAAGGCCCGGGGAGCCGGGCCATGGCCGCGTCCTGCCGTCTTGGGTCTGGTGTCCCCGCGCAGGAAGGGAAGGCGGTGCCCACAGGGCAGCCTCGCATGCAGGTCGGGGCGAGCCTGGCTATCTCAGAGCAAACAAGGGGCGAGGCCGGCACCCTCGCTAAGGAAACGCCTCGCCCTCCTCCAGGCCCAGTTCTGGAAGCGTTTTGACTGGACTCCCTTCTTCTGTCCTCCTCCCCCCAGTTTCTGAAGTTGTGGGGCCCTGGGGAACGGGCTGGACAGGGGGTGAGGGGTGGCCACCTGAAGGGAAGGGGTGGGACCTGCGGCTCTGCAAGGAAACCTGCCCTGGAGACAGGTAGGTGGTTTGACAACCTGTGGGCCGGCAGCAGACATCACCGCTTTGGGCTTCACCCCAGAGACCCTTTCCGATGCCTTGAGAGATTCGAGTTCCTTCCAAGCCCCTCCTCTTCTCCCTGAGATCCCATCTCTGGCACTTTTATCACTGGCTGATGGGAGTCTCCATGGCAACAACAGCTGCCTCCCACTTCCACAGTCACTCCTTTTTATGGGCAGGGAGGTGAGGCTTGGAGGGGGGTGTGTGTTAAGGGTTTAGTGGTCTGGCATTGGGGAGCCCCAATCAGGTTCCTCGCCTCTGCCCTTGAAGAGGAAGCAAGAGGTTAAATGCACCCCCCCCCTCACCCCCCCCCCCCCCCCCCGCGCCTCCCACCCCCCACCCCCAAGCTCTGGGCACTCAGGCTCCTGCAGAAAGTGCACCGGTTTCATTCCCTTGCTACTCACAGCAGGTTAGGGTTTTCCCAGCCTGGAGCTCTGTGTGCCTCTCCCATGCCACTGACAGTAAATGACCTTTTAAAGACTCTGGAAGAGACCTAGCCGGTTTGGCTAAGTGGATAGAGCCTTGGCCTGGGGACCGACGGCCCCGGGTTAGATTCCGGACAAGGGCATGGTACTTTGGTTGCAGGCTAGATCCCTGGTCAGGGTGTGTGTGCAGAAGGCAACCAATTGATGCCTCTCTCACACACATTGATGTTCCTCTCTCCTTCCCCTCCTTTCCACTCTCTAAAAAATAAATGGAAAAATATCCTCAGGTGAGGAGTAACAAAAAATAAAGGCTTTAGATGAGCTCTCCCCAGCCAGTAAGGCAGAGGCTGTGTGGAGAAGCTGGCCTAAGAACACAGCCTGGGCAGGGGTCCTCTTTGCATCATCCCCAACTTCTCCCGGGAATTCCAAGTTTGAAGAGAGGATTCGACTCTCACTTTCCATACAAACACAATATATCTTTATTGCAGTTTGTAAAATAAAAATAAAAACACACATCTTAAAACACGCATTTCAAGTTAGTTTAACAAATATCTTCCCTGTCCCCTGCCCCAACAAAACCCAACCAAGCCAGCAGGACAGGGTATATTAATGCAGGGAGCTGGAGTGGGAGTGAAGGGTAGTGTTAGATGGGGGTGGGATAGAGGTCAAGAGGGCCGGAAGGACTCATTGACTGGCAGTCTCCACCAGGGCTGGGGGGTAGGAGGTAGCCAATCTCAGCAGCATTCCTCTGCTGTATTAGGGTGGCCCCAGGAGGGGGTTCAGGCTCTTCCCAACCCCAGGTCCATTTCCTCTTCTTCTTCTACCTCCTGGAAGTTTGAGTCTTAACTAAGACCCAGTTTTCCCATAGTAAAGAAGGATGGGTGCAAAGGACTGGAGATCTAGAGGGGGCCAACCCCCCCAGACTCAGGCCTTTATGCTGGGGTAACCCCCATTGTAATTACTGTAGGAAGGAGAGACACCAGATGGCTCTGCCCACAAATGGCTGGGCTGTCACACCAGAGACCCAGCCTGATTCTGGGCGGGCACCATCACGGGGACAGCACCCTTGCGACTCAGGGCAGAGGGTGAGACCCAACCAAGACTGCGTGTGGGGGTCGATGCACCCAGCCTGGAAGAGCCGTGGGGCGGTCTGAGGGCTGGTGACGAGGTGACAGAGGAAAGGGTCCCATTCTTGGAGATTGTGTCTGAGCCCTTCGGCCAGGGCAGAGTCCGAGGAGCAGTGGCATCTTCCCTAGTCATCAAAGAAGCAGTGAGGTCAGAAACTGGAAGCGAGTGAGTTTCTACAGGCCTCGTCTTCCTCTCCCCTTCCCCCACTTCAACTCTCCTCTCCCTTCAAGTCTACCCACAGGCGTAATGCTTCAGCCACAGCCCATGCTTCCATCAGATGACAGCTGCCTGCATTCCCAGCCTCCCTCAGGGAGCTAGGAGAGTCCTGTCTGGGCACTTACTTGATATCATTGGCCACCTCCTCTGGGACCTTGCCCTGGCGTCGGTACAAGAGGACCAGTCCAGCTAGCAGCCCCAATCCAACCAGGGTGCCCACAACAGCTCCAGCAACCACTGCAGCCCCAGGCCCTGGAAGAACCTTGGTGTCACAAGCGACATCCAGCTGTCCCCCCTCCCTCTCCAATGCTCTACCCCACTGCCTCCATACACCTTGTGTCTTTTTCTCAGTTAAGAAGAGGTGGCTGGCCGAAACCGGTTTGGCTCAGTGGATAGAGCGTCGGCCTGCGGACTGAAAGGTCCCAGGTTCGATTCCGGTCAAGGGCATGTACCTGGGTTGCAGGCACATCCCCAGTGGAGGGTGTACAGGAGGCAGCTGATCGATGTTTCTCTCTCATCGATGTTTCTAACTATCTCTCTCCCTTCTTCTCTGTAAAAAATCAATAAAATATATATATATAAAAAAGAAGAGGTGGCTGTCCAGCAGAAAATGGTCACTGACCAAATATTTGGACAAACATTTGATCAGAACAAATTTGTTGCCCTGTTACAATGAGAGGACTCAGTAGACAGGTCTCCCCCCCCCCCCCCCCCCCCGTCTATTGCAGCCCCACCCCAACCACTGGCCCCACTTACCCCTCACTGACCTGTGCTCACTTCCAGGGTCACGTTGCAGCTGGCGCTGCCCACCCTGTTGGAGGCCTTGCAGATATAGACTCCAGACATAGAACTGGAAAGGTTTCGGAGGCTTAAAAGGCCAGATATGGCATCTGTGGACACAATTTAGCCATCAGGCCAGGGACCCAATTTCCCACTAAAAAAAAAAAAAAGAAAAGCCTACCCTTCTTCTGGAATGTCCCCTTTGACTCTCTGGGAAACTCGGGGGGGGGGGGGGGGGGGAGGGTAGGGAGGGAGGTTTTTGGGGGAGGAGTGTGACAGTAAGCACACTGGGTTCTGCTTCCAGGTGCAGAACTGCTGGCTCAATATCCCTCTCCATTTCCCAGGCTCAATGTCCCCAACTGATTCTGAAAGGAGGCTAAAGAAATGATAACCAGCCCAGCCCAACCGGTGTGCTCAGTGGCTGAGTGTGGAACTATGGGCCAGGAGGTCAGGGCACATGCCTGGGCTGTGGGCTCGATCCCCAGTAGGGGGCATGCAGGAGGCAGCCGATCAATGATTCTCTCTCATCATTGATATTTCTATCTCTCTCTCCCTCTCCCTTCCTCTCTGAAATCAACAAATATATATATATATTTTTAAAAAATCATAATAAAGAAATGATACCCAGAGAAATCAAAACAGGATTTTAATTTCTAAATGGCAGAGTGGGGTGAGAGAAAAAACATTGGCTAGGAATGAGAAAACTTGGGTTCCAGAATAGGCCGTGTGACTTTAAGCAAGTTACTTGCAATCCCTGGGTCCCCATTACTTCATCTCTAAAACAGGATAATATAACCTTCTGGATAGTGTTGAAAAATTATGTGAAATAATAATTATAACAGTTAAAGTTTATTGGATGCTTATGTACACCAAGGACTGAGTTCTTTACATCCACTAATTTATGAAAGTTTCAAAACGAACCTATGAGGTAAGTGCTACGTAAAAAAAAAAAAAAAAAAAAAAGAATTATTATAAAATGGTCAAATGAAAAGTAGAAAGAGGGACAAATGAAAATACTACCACTTAGATTCAACAGTCGCCAACATTTTGCTATACTTATTTAATTTCCTTTCTCTTTTTTCCTGAGACATTTAAAATAACGACTTCAGCATAAATCTCCAAAAATTAAGGATACTGCCCTACATAACCACAATACCATTCCTGATCATTAATAATTCTCTAAAAGCATCTAATACTCCATAACAAAAATGTTCCATCAATTATATCTCATAAAAAATTGTTTTTAAAGTTCCAATTTCCCCAAAATGACTTTTAGAGCTGGTGTCCCATTTTTAAAATGAGGAGACGGCCTGGCCGGTGTGGCTCAGTGGTGGAGGGCACATGCCAGGGTTGGGGGCTCGATCCCCAGCAGCGAGTGTGCAGGAGGCAGCCGATCAATGATTCTCTCTCATCATTGATGTTTTTATCTCTCTCTCTCTTTCTCCCTTCCACCCTGAAATCAATAAAAAAAAAAATCTTTTAAAAAAATTAGGAAATGGAGGTAGCTAGGACACAGCCAGTGAACAGCAGAGTTCTAGAGCTTCTTTAGTAACATAGTTATACGTGAAAGCACCAACACCAGCTTGCACCTAGTAGCCCTCTTTCTCCACCACTGCCCGCACCCTTCTCCTCCCCAGTACTTTTTACCACTGTCTTTCCTTTTCACCCCAGTCCCTCTGGTACCTCATCTTGCCCCAGCCCCACCCCAGTCTCTGTGTCTCCAGAAGTCTCTCACCTAAAACTGGTGCAAAGAAAACCTCAACAGATGGTTGTAACCGCTCCCACTGGTACAGGGCAGCGGGCTTACTCCTTGGGGACTTGCAGCTCAAGGTCACATTGGTCCCCACACGGGGTGCACCCAGAAGATGGCAGGATGGAGGAGCTGGAGGAACTGGGGAAGGGGAGACAGGTTAAAAACTCACACCCAAGAGACCAATAGACACCCCCCTACACACACACACCAACTTCTACACACACCCTTCAGTCACTCCATTTAACCCTCGTCCAACCTGTACACTCAGCCATTGGGGAGAGAGAACTGCCTGAACTGGGGCAGGCAGGGGGAGGGGGGAGGAACGGGGAGAGACACACAAGTACTGGAAAGTGTGTGCTTCTTACCCCACACGTCAAGTTTTAAAGTTTTGCTGTCGTGGCCCCTGCTTGTGCCTTGCTTGTCTTGCACGTTCACAGAGCAGCGGTAGGACCCAGAGTCTTTCTCCCGGAGGCCCTGCAGCCGCAGGGACACATTCCGGGAGGGCCTGGGGTAGACCAGGGACGCTCCATCTTGGCTTGTTGTGGCCCCATTGATGTGCGCCAACACCTGGTGTGAGCATAACCCCTGCCCATTATCACATGCCTCATGGTGCCCACAGGCTCAGCCAATCTCCCTCCACCAAACTGTCAAACCTCAGATGCCCCTCACCTGCACCGTCCCCTCTAACCTGTACCAGCTCCCCTCCACCCCTTCTCCCTGGCCACCCTCTCACCACCCCAGGTCCTCTTCGCCAGAACGGTTTTTGATCCCCTGTATGTTGTCTCCGTCTCCCACTTGGGGTGTTTGGAAAGGTGGTAAAATGGGTGAGAGGTCATGTAAACAGGGGTTATGTCTGAAAGGAACCAAATGTACAAGTTCAGGCCCTGTGAAACCAGGATCGACCCCTGCAGTCTAAGCTTCTTTCACACACACCCCTGTGTAGCAAAGGGCCTCTTGAAGATGTGCCCTCGGGCTTCAGAAGGAGCCATGCCAGCGAGGGGCTCTGGAAGGTAAGTGTCCTTGGCCTTTGCCCTAACTGTGATGCCAGGAGAGGCCAGAAGGGAGATGGCGGGAGGCTGCCCCTTGCCTCTCAAGGTGGGTACAAGAGGCAGCAGCCTGTGATGTCCGAAGCACAGAGAATGTGAACACAGGTTGATAGGCAACTTTTTAAAAGTGGGCGTGGCTCAGTGGTTGATCGTTGACCTATGAACCAGGAGGTCACCATTGGATTCTGGTCAGGACACAGGCCCAAGTTGTGGGCTCCATCCCCAGAGTGGAGCATGCAGGAGGCAGCCCATCAGTGATTCTCTCTCATCGCTGATGTTCCTCTCTCTCTCTCTCCCATCTATCTATATCTATCTATCTATCTATCTATCTATCTATCTATCTATCTATCTATCTATCTATCTATCTATCTATCTAGTGTGATACTCGCCCTAACTCTTCCCACCTCTGCCCCCAATCCTCGCTGCCCCACCCCCATAGCAAAGTAAGATGCCTCTTCACTCTGCCGTGTTTGTGGCCAAATTTCTAGGGAAACTTGGGGGAAAGAGAGTCCTTTTGGGCCACCTCCAAGATCGGAACAAAATCAAACCGATGGAGAAGACCTTGCTTTCTCCCCACCCCCCACCCCCCGCCCCCGCCGAAACTTTTTCCCGTCCCCCTCTCCCTGGCTCCTCCCCTTCCCTCCTCCCCGCGTCGCCAGCAGCGCCCCCCGCCCCCGCTGGGCTAAGGTGAGCGGCGTGGGAACCTCACCTGCTTCAGATCCTGCCCTTCCTGCTCCAGGAACCACATCAGGGTGAGCGTCTCCCAGGGCTGGGCCGAGGCCGCCTCCCCCTGGAAGGTGTACCAGGCCGGCAGCACCACCTCGTCTCCCTCCACCGCGAGGACCCTGTCGCGGCCCGAGGGCACGTGCAGCTGGAACTGGGCGCAGGAGGCGGGTGCTGGGGAGGAGAGCGAGGACGCCTGAGCTCAGACCTGCCCATCCTGGCAGGGCGGGGGTGGGGGGCGCAGGACGCCCGGCCCATAGGAAGGACCTCAAGAGTCCTGTCCAGGGGCTCGGAGACTACCTACTGCCTGGGGGCCGCAACCTGGGGCCTGCTTTCAGCGTCATCAGCGCCCGAGCGCTAATCCTCCGAAACCTCCGCCTTCGGGTGTGTGGCGCGGAGGAGGACACAGTTATGTGCCATTTATTTGTATCCAGAGGCGCAGATTTCCAGCGAGGAGGGGAAGACGCCCGAGAGGAAGGGCAGGTTTAATGGTTTTGATGTACATTCTGCGTAGCCCACTTGCTCCCGCAGTTTCCCGGGCGAGAGGGAGGTAGGGAGGGAGTGACCGGGCTGGTCTGGATCGGAGCGTTCCTGCCCCGAGGGGTGGAGGGGCTGGGAGGCCGCTGGTAACCGCAGCTCCGGATGGACAGCCTGGGGCCGAGGTCGGAGCCGCCCGGTGGCTGCTGCGCGCCCTCCCCCGCCCTCTCAGCCCCGACAGGTGCGCTCCCTGGGAGAGAGGAGAGCTGGGACCCAGCAGGCTCCCGCGGGCCCTTTTGGGATCCAGGCGACCAGGGCGGATCCTCTGGGGCCACAGGGAACGTCGGCAGAGCTGGGGCACGAATGAAGGTCCCCAACAACCAAGTACGAAGTTGTGGCTGCGTGCGTCCGTGTCCAGGAGGTGGACTGGGCTGTGGGTTTCAGGGAGGGGACTAAGCGAATCCATGTGGCACCTAGAAACGCTCGCGTTTTGCCCTTTGGAGAGGTGACGGGCAGAGTCCTAAGCCGTTTGGGGGAATACCCTCGGGCTCCCATCCCGCGGGCCTGAGGATCCTGGCGGCAGGAGGCCTGGCCACTGGGCACCGCCACCTCTGAGTGGTGACCAGGCAGCCCAGGCACGGGCAGAGGCCGCAGACTGGCTGGGCTCTCCGCCCGCCAGGAGTTGGTTGAAGCCTCTCAGGCCAGGAGCACACCCGGCCAGGATGCGCACCACCCCCACCGCTTCCCGCTGCAGCCCCTAGGAGCCCCCACACCTAGTCCTTAGCCTTCTCAGCAGCCTCCTTCCCATTTCCTGGCGGGATCCAGGCAGGCCCGGGCAGGAAACTTGTGCCCAGCGATAAGCTAGAAGACAATGAGGGAGGAGGGAGGAGGGAGGAGGAGGGGGCTAGGCCAGAGGTTCTACAGCTGGAAACAACCACTGCCTCAAGGAGCTCGAGGCCCCGGGACACCCCCTCCTGGGGCGCGGCTGCCTCTCCTGGCACGTCTGCAGTGCTCCCAGAGGCCAGGCAGTTCCTACCAACGGCAGTGCTGAGCCCTCAAACCCCACTAGTGTTTCATTTTGCGAGAGGTACTTCAGATGATGGCAATGGATACACTTCTGGGCAAATGCTCCCTTTCTTATCGGCCCATCAGAAACCGGGAGCAGCAGAGGCCCCAGGCTTTAGCCTTCCTCCCTGGGTGTCCGCTGGAGCAGAAGTCCCCAACTGTTGGTCCCTTTTCACTCTAGGGTTCACAGTGTCATCCAAAGAGAAGGGGGTGGTTGGGTTTGGGCAAAGGAGACCTGACCAGCCCAAGAAAGGGACCCTCTGGCCCACTCCCCAGAGCAAAAGCCGGGAAAGACTGAGAATGGGCCTGCTTTCCAGGGCTACTATTTTTAGTCTCCCTCTTTCTCTGAGAAACTCCCCCCTCGGGCTTCTCACGCCCCAGGGGCAGCAGCGCTGGGCCACTGAGGAGCACAGACAGCGAGGAACTTGAGGAACTTGCGAGAGCCAGTGCCCGCCCTGAGCCTAGGTCCCCAGCGCCATTTAACCCTTGCATAGCCCGGGAACTCCGCAATCCCCCTGCCAACAGGTAGGGACTTGGAGCTTGGGCTGTCACTATAAAAACTGAAGCTCAGAGTTACACACACACACACACACACACACACACGACCAGGAAAGCTGTGGAGATGCCCAGGCAGCCAACTGGCAATTTTCCCCCTTGCTTCAGAAACCCCCCAGCAAGAAAGAGGATGGGGGGTAGGGGGGACAGAGTGCAGAAGGAAAAGAGGTGCTGAGGTTGAAGTGGGGCGGGGAGGCTGAGAAATGGAGGCAACCTGGAACAGGCCCACCAAGCTAAAGGGGCAGGAAGCTGCCCGGATTTGGTGGCTGGGGAGCTGCTCCTGAGCCCCACTTGGTCTGGGGCTCTACTTCTTCCTGCCCCAACGTCCTCGCAGCACAGACCCGGCGAAAGGGAGCGCACATGAGGGTGCTGGATTTCCCTCTACACCCTGCCTAGCCTGGCTTGCCCTGGACTTTCCACCGGACAGAAAGGAGCTCAAGATGGCCTCGCCTAACCCACGCTCCACCCGCCTGGGGTCCTTGAGGAGGAATGGCAAGAAAGTCTGGGAGGTGGGGTGCAACAGGCTTAGTTCCTGCCGGGCCCTTCTCTCCCCAGTTGGGCCACCGTAAGCTCCTGGGCAACCCTGGAAGCTTCTAACGCCCCTCAAAGCACTTGCTCTGGGGAGGTGGCCTCCCTCTCTGACTCTTTGAGGCCCGCTCTCTATTTCCTCTGTCCCCTTGACCCTAGGAACCAAGGACGGTGGTGGACCTCTGGGGGGGGGGGGGTCACCATTCTGCTCCTCTAGGCACCCAGGCCCCTCCCCCATTTCCTGTATCCCAAATGACCTCACGGTTGTGCGTTGGGGGCACCTCCCTTGATTCCTAGGGCAGGAAGCAGGAGGAGGGGGCAGAGGGCGGCCTGGGCTGGGGGACTGAAGTGAAGTGGGGTGTCAGGCCCAGTACCAGGGAATTGCCCGGGGCCTGTGTGGGGAGGGGCAGGAGCGGAGCTGGAGCTAAGTCCTTAAGCTCTTTAGCCAGTGTCTCATCTAGCAGCTCAGCTCATCCGGCTCTGCTGGGGGCTGGTGGGGAGTCGGGGTGAGGAATGGTTCGGCTACCTCACCCCAGAGGTCTACCCTGGCGATGCCCTGACCTTCTCCCCACCACACAAACACCTGGGACGGGAAGTGGGCGCGGGCAGTGGGTGCTGTCCTCAACCCACAGGGATGGGGTCAGTAGCAGCCGGGATGCCCTGGGTGGGTGGGAGAGGCTGGAGTGTGTATGTGGGGGAGGGTCAGAGTCAGAGGCGGGAGTCTGGTCCCACCCAGTTCCTCACCAGGTCACAAACCAGCTCCCTCTGGGTCGGAGTCTCCCCACCTCCCGCTCAAGTCCCCTCCCGGTTCTGGGTTTAACTTACCGAAGGTACTCAGCCCCAGGAACAAAACCTGCAGCAGGGACACCATGGCCTTCCCTGGCCCCGACGGTCAGGGGCGCTGGCTCTGGGACGCTGGCTCTGGGACGCAGTGACTGCCAGGTGCCGAGGCCACGGGACAGCCGCAGTGACCGCCAGGTGCCGAGGCCACGGGACAGCTGCAGTGACCGCCAGATGCCGAGGCCACGGGACAGCCGGAGGGGACTCGGGAGCCGGGACACTGACACCGAGGGCAGCGCTAGCCAGAGTGTGCGCGCGCGGCCGGTGGCCGGGTGGGAACCGACAGGGACAGGGGGCGGGGCATTGGAAGGGGCGGAGAGGTCGCTGTCCTCCCGGGCGGGGCACGCGGGTGACCCTCCTGACCCTCCTCGAGCTCTGGGATCCGGTGGCTTTGACCTGGCCGGCGCGCAGGGTGGGGTCCGGTAATCCGGTGCAACCACCGCGGCCTCGGGCAGGGAAGACCAGGGTCCCAGCGGCCGCAGCGCAGCCACGCTCTCTCCGCGGGGTGGGTGGGATAAGGATGGGAGGGAGGGGGCTTTGGGGATTCCTCGGTGTCCAGGGACCACTCACACCCCCACACCGTAAACCGCAGAGCACTGGTCCCCGACTAACTGGCTCCGAGCCTAACCCGAGTGGCCTGCCTGGTGGAGGAAGAAGGGCACCGTTTCCCCGGGGCCACTGGGACTCCGCAGTGTGGGGGACCGGGACCGTCAGGGACGGCGCCAAACCCGAGTGACCGCTTCCCCAGGGCGGGGGTGGGGAGGCAGCGGGTGCTGGGCCGGAGCCGTGAGGAGGAGCGGGTCAGTGGGTGGGTTATGGCCACCTGAGCCAAGAAGCCGGAGGCCGCTCGGCAGGAGGTCAGGCCCGCAAGGGACTCGCCTGCGGGGGGACGCTGGGACCCTCTCCCGCTTTGGGCGGCGTGGGGAGGGCTCGCAGGCCACGGGGTCCAGTGCGCGGTCCCACGAGCTGGGTGGGGAAAGACTGGCGGGAGGACGCCCCGGGAGTAGCGCGGGACACTGAATACTCACCTTTGCAAACATCCTCCCCTGGGCCGTGTGCTGCCTGGGGAGGAGGGGGCTGCGGGGAGGCTGCACCGAGCCCCTGAGGCTTTATTCCCCGGACTGGTCGCTTTCCTGCGAATTTAGTAACCGACCCTCCCCCTCCCCCTCCCCCTGCGCCCCCTGGCGGCCGCGGCCCCTCCAGGAAGCGCACGCACCTGTTCCTGCTTCTCAGTCCAACATACAAAACAAAGATGCTTCAAACATCCCGGCGCAGCTCAACCTCCGCGCAAAGGCCACCGAGGACACAAAGCGCAACCGCGAACTCCTGGCGCCGCCTGCTCTGGGTGGCTGTGGCCTGGGGAGAAAAGCAGCCAGGCCTCCTGGATTCCACTGATCCAGAGTTCTGCTGTAACACTGAGTGTGTTCCCGGTGCCTGCGCTGCACACAGACCCTCCGGCTGCTGCGTCCTAGTGTGACTTGCCTGGCTGCTCTTTAAATACCTGCGGGGCAGTGGCTCTGAGAAATGCCTGTGCGAACACTACACTGCCCGTGTCCACTCTGGAGCCTAGAAGCTGGCAACTCAGTGGCAGCCAAGGCAACAGACATAGATAACTGCCCACCTCATACCCTTAGGCAGCGACCCGCACACTTGAAATTGTCACGTAGATTATGGGGTGGGGGGGTGGGGGTGGGGGGGAGTGTTGGTTTGTTCTTTCTATTGTATCGCACTCAAATTTTTCTTGATTTTAGTTAACATTGCAAACCCCTCTTGTAAACATCTCCCTCCTTTGTTTCCAGATGAGGGCTGTCTCCCAAAATAAGTAACCCCAGAAACGCAGCACAAAGTCTCTTGGTTGTATATCTCAGGAACACCAAAGCACCCAATCACATAAGCTGTGCTCATCCAAGGTATACCAGGGGTGGGCAAACTTTTTGACTCGAGGGCCACAATGGGTTCTTAAACTGGACCAGAGGGCCGGAACAAAAGCATGGATGGAGTGTTTGTGTGAACTAATAAATTCAAAGTAAACATCATTACATAAAAGGGTATGGTCTTTTTTTTTCAATGGTTTTATTCATTTCAAACGGGCAGGATCTGGCCCGCGGGCCGTAGTTTGCCCACGGCTGGTATAGTCTCAATGCTCATTCTCTGTAGCTCATTTTTTCTTTGTAATTCAGACCCCAAATAATGTGCACCATTGAAAAGCAAAGCTGCAGCCCAAGACTGGTAGGCAGTGGCTGTTTCCATGTGACACAGCACCAGTCCTTCAGGACTCTCCCTCTGCCCTCGCCCCAAAGAATTTCCACAGCATCTCCTGTCCCAACCCCTTCTTTTTCGGAGCCTAAGGCTGTCAAGCGGTAGAAGTTTAGCACAGCAGCTCCATTACTTTAAGTTTTTGCCAAGATGCATTTTAGGGCGAACATTGCTCTCTGGTGTAAAGTGAGAACATTGGCACCGATGACCTGGGAGCTGCCTGGGAACCATGCTGTGTGCAGGAGCCAAGTTCACAGTTCCATGTAAGAGACTTGCAGGGGACTAGCGTTTCTCCAGTCATACCTCATCCTACATCTCTAAGTATTTTCTAATGCAGATTCTTAGGTGTGAATATAGTGCCTCCACCCCACTCCCCCTAACCCATTACAAAGCTTCATTAAGGTCTAAATAGTCCACTGTTTGTTTTTTTAGCAGTGCACATGTCGTTTTCTGACACCCGGATGCCCTCTTTTCTAGAATGCTCTGGCCAAAGAGACTGGATATTCAGTATCTACAAGCTACTTTCTTTCCAGGTCTCCATTTCTCAGTGCTCGGCTTTGTCCTCTTGCCGCCATCCCTTACCCATCCCTCACCCATCCCAAGCCCAATGGTGGACTCATGGCCTGGACCAGTCTCGCCATTTCCCCTCGCTGCTCACAGCGGTCTGGCAGTGGCATTCCCTGTCATGTGGGGTACATCTGAACCATCTCAAGCAAGGCTCACAAAATGCTCCGCTGGAGCTAAGTACTTAACAGCGATGGAAAGTGAAGCATAACTAGTTTTGGGGTGGATCAGTGGCCAAGTTTTAGGAATGTAGTACCGGTAATAATGCTTTCCCTCTGCAGCTCTTAGCACTGAAGACTGTAGGGTTATTGCTACAAGATGGTGAATGGAGCTTCATTCTGGCCAATTTAACTGCCCCTCCCCGACCCCCTACACCCCTGCACTCCCTGGAGGCCGCGGCCCCCTCAAGGAAGGACTATAGGACTGTGGGACTACACAAGCCCACCGCGAGTTTAACATGCTTGGACTACAATTTCAAGTTGCAGAGAAGGGCAAACGCATGAGAATTTCCCAAGGCCTGTCCCTGCAGACTGTGCCCGGGGAAAGGAGGTGCTACACTCAAGCATCCCATAATATTTATACTCTTCCTGAACTAGCACCTGTTTTTTTAAAAAAAAAAATTAAAAAATATATTTTATTGATTTTTTTACATAGAGCAAGGGAGAGGGATAGAAAGTTAGAAACATCGATGAGAGAGAAACACTGATCAGCTGCTTTCTGCACACCCCCTACTGGGGATGTGCCCACAACCAAGGCACATGCCCTTGACCGGGATCGAACCTGGGACCCTTGAGTCCGCAGGCTGACGCTCTATCCACTGAGCCAAACCGGTTAGGCACTAGCACCTGTTTTTAGCAGCTCACATAAGAAAACAGCCGACTCCACAAACCTAGACCCAAATGACATTGATTATAAGCTCTCTAGCCACTAGAAAAATAAGTACCAACCAACCAAGGGATACCAGAATGAGAAAAATCACTGGTGTGGGAAATAATATATATATTTTATCAATTTGTAATTTTATCTTCAATTGTATAGAAAAACAGGGAGCATTATAGCTCTTACCTGGATTTGCAGCCCACTTAAAGTCGAGCACCTGAGAGCTGTTAGGGAATCATTACAGATACCCAATCTAACAAGTCTCCACCGTGACACCAGAGTGAACTCTGACGACCCTACTAGTAAGCTGGCTCTTAGTCACAAGTCCCGACCTCTAGGTGGAGTGCTAGCTGACCCGCAGAAATCTCGGGAAGATCGAAATGTGATAGTTATCTTTCTAATGGACTGACACCTCCCAGTTTCCTAGCCTACGGATCACTTAAAAACTTTTTTGGATGTTTCTGTCGGCCCTTCTCTCCTTTTTTAAAAAAATATATTTTTATTGATTTCAGAGAGAGGAAGGGAGAGGGAGATATAGAAACATCAATGATGAGAGAGAATCATTGATGGGCTGCCTCCTGCACTCCCCCTACTGGGGAGTTAGCCTGCAACCCCGGCGTGTGCCCCGATCGGGAATTGAACCGTGACCTCCAGGTTCATGGGCTGAAGCTCAACCACTGAGCCACGCCAGCTGGGTTCTTCTTCCTTTTCTTTCTTTTTTATAGGCAATATGATGACGCCAATTCTCCACTTTACTCCTTGGGAGAGCTGCCCCTGGTTACTGAGTATAAAGATGAGGAAGGAAAGTCTCTTATACTTTAATGTACTCAGGGTCAGAAGGAATAACCTAGTCGTTTTTTAAAAAAGAAATACAAAATGCAATGTCCAATGACCTTGGGTACACTCTGACAAGAAATAATGACATTGGGTGCAGAGAGTGCAAGAAAGTGAAGATCTGCTGTTTGCTCGAAGTCAGAGCACAGCACCCACTGCCAGCATGGCCACACTCTGCTACAAAAAGCTCAACTACTACGCCAAGAGGCCAGGAATTACTTTAATTTTTTTTTTTATAAAAAGTTTAAACGGCAACACAACCGTCAAGTTGGTACATCACAGAAACAAAGGTCTTTGCAGGCAACACTGATTGGGAATAGCAAAACACTGAGTTGGTGAAAAAATGAAACTCTAAATTATATACAATAGTAGCTAAAGGTGATATTGAAAAACAGTCTTATTTACTGTGACTTGAGATTTAACTTGCCATTATCTATTGCTTATTTATTCAGGGTTGTAAATAATACTTATATAGAGACATAGAGATGTGTAAAAATGAAACGTTGTGGAAAAAATACAAATTTTCAATTTTATATGAAACTCAAAGTATAAGTTTTGTCCAATATGGAATGTAGCTATGTTTGTTTATATTAGGGCTCTAATATCCGTTTAAAAATGTTTTGTTTTTAAAAAACAGTCGACCCACCATGCAAGTTCGCTGTAAATCTCGTTTGCTCAAAGTGAGCA